TTCTGCAAAACAGAAAATGTTCAGAAAATTGGAGATGCTTATTTATTTGCATATTTTTCTAACCTCCCAAATAAACAGAAATGCCTATAAAGCAAACCCCTATTTATTTGCAACAACAACAAAAAAAAAACAAACACTGAAGTTGGGTAGGGGGCAAGATGTGGTTAAGTGTCTACTCACAAAAACACCACAAGCAAACTTGCAAACAGGTTTGTTGAGAGAAAGTGAGGTATATCAGCCCTTCCCATATGTTTCCTTCCATCTTAGATATACCCATATGCCATAAGCAATCCATACCATCTCCATGACCACTAAGCATTTCAAGGACAGGCAAGCCTTAGGTGCTCTCTCTCCCAGTGGCATATAGACAATACCAGCCCAAGAGAAGGGGGTGTGGCTTAATCCTGCAGCTGCCCAGAGGCCTGGACCAGGGTACCAACAACAGACTAGTACACAATGATGACTTTCTGGAGATCCCTGCTTTAAAGAAATGCATGCAGAGCTGGCTCTGGGTATAAGAGGATGTAGAGACAGATAAATGTGTAACAATATTATATGTAATAATATAAGTATATAATAATGTAAATACTTTTTTCTCTCTCACACCCCAAACTATCAGCCATCTGGATAAGAAGTTACTTCTTAAAGAATTTTCCTTGGGGCGCCTGGGTGGCGCAGTCGGTTAAGCGTCCGACTTCAGCCAGGTCACGATCTCGCGGTCCGTGAGTTCGAGCCCCGCGTCAGGCTCTGGGCTGATGGCTCGGAGCCTGGAGCCTGTTTCCGATTCTGTGTCTCCCTCTCTCTCTGCCCCTCCCCCGTTCATGCTCTGTCTCTCTCTGTCCCAAAAATAAATAAAAACGTTGGAAAAAAAAAAGTTAAAAAAAAAAAAGAATTTTCCTAGAGTTTATAAGCAAGCATTATATTGGATTATATAGAGACCAAAGACAATAGACTGTTTGAGGCAGACAGATATGAAAATATGTGCCCAATATAATGTGCTCTTTAAATGCTAAAACATTTGAACAATAAACTAGCTTCAACCATGAACTACCATCTCCTCTGACCACAGGGAGCCTTAAAGGATGAATCAAATCAAGTCAATGAAAGAACTGCAGGGTCCACTTAGAATAACATAAACTCAACAAAACATTTTCAACAAAGGAGCCTGTGCAAGTTGCCTTTCACTATATGAAATGTGAAAGCTATATCTACCACTATGTTTAATGCACAATATTCTACCTACTAAAATAACCAGTTTTCAAAATGAATTGGCCAAAATCTCTCAAAGTCTACACCAAGATATTCAAACTCTCAGCCAGATTCATCAATAACCTCCCCAAAGTCTGTCATTCCCATATCACCTATAATTCCTTATTAGAAATTTTAAAGCTGGGTCTTAATACTTTTATAGAAAAACATCAATGTGCAAAGAGAGTTTCAGCAAGTATTTTATGAGTAGTGTGTTTTCCATCAGAATCCATGATACACTTTCTACTTTAGCAGCTGCATCATGACTCATCCAGATCTAAAGCCAATTTCCTCAAAGAAGAAATTCGCATTAGAAGCTATACCATGTGAAATGTGCCAATTACGGTCTAGAATTTACAATCCACTGCCACTACCTGAACCAAAACTATTCCCGAAGCGGCCATAAAAACAACTGTCTTCCAGATGCATAGCCCCAGATAGGAAGATCAAGATGCTTCATGATACCTGTCTTCTCTACTATGAGTGACATCAGAAATGTACTATCCAATAAATAGAAGTCACTTTCCCATCAGTTATAAGGATAATCTCAAAAAGCTATAAATAGCTAAATGAAACAACAGAACCAAATAAATTTAACAATAAATTAAAATATGATCTATAAACTGACATTTCCATTTCCTCCCTCACATTTTGAAGATAAACAAAATACACTTTGGTATCATATCATTTTCATTCCCAAACTGCAGAACACCTCTCAAACAGGACTGGCCACCTTCCCTCCCAAAACCCTTAAGAGAGAACCTGGTCAGTTAAAGGCAGAAACTTATGCACTCACCTCCTCCCTTATTTAAATGATGGAAACACCCCTCTAGTGTGCAGAAGTGGTTGTCTTAGGATGACTCCACTTGTCTGTAGTGGTAGATGAGGAAAATGAAACTACACAAGGTAATCAGTTTCCAAAAAAAGCTCAAAATGATGAGTCTGGGTGGCCTGCATTAAGTGTGTATGTGTCTCTAGGTATAAACTTCTTTTATCTTGTCTCTTCCTCCCCTATGGCATGGAGTTGAGATCATTATACTTTTGACTATTTGGGTAACTGCAATTCTCATATTTTTTTTTTTTTTAATACAAGGCCAGATATCCCTTCTAGCCAGTAAGGACCATGAAACTACTTCAGTCATTTCAGTCCACAGTGTTCAAGGAATTCAAACCGATTTCAGTATCTGCCTAAGTAGTAAAGTAACAGACAGGTTTTTAAGAGGGGTCCCTTTTTTTACTCAAAAAGTACATCCCAAAGTCAAAAAGCAAAGGTATGGCTTTGGTAATCAGGACAAGACTTAGCTTTACCAAATAGATTGATTAAATTAAAGATAAGCAGTTACTCTCAAAGTAAACATAACACATTATAAATCAGATTCTCTGGGACTTTTCAGTAAGCTGAAAAGACTCAAAATTGCTATGTATATCTTTCTAAGTATAGAAAATATTAGAATCTGATTTTCTTGTAGCTTTCCATTGACCCAAACTATTATAATACTCCTTCAACTGAACTCTACTTGAAAACCTCACCTTGTTTAAAGGTGGTGAATCAAAGTGGCTGAAACTGCAGGGGGCAGTATAAGCACAACTTCCAATATAATTCTTAAGATTTAAGAAAATTCTTCCAGCTAGCCTTAGCCTTTAAACTATTAACATATTTCAAAGACTCCACATAAAAATGATTTTTTAAAGATAATTAATTGAAATTCTTCTCCAGATTTAACAATGGGGGTTAGGGGGAGGAGTACACTACACTCACTCAGGTCAGTATTCATCCATATAACATAGTCCAGTCAAAAATAGAACAAGTTTGTTTAAAAAAGAACTTCTTATCCACACTCTTAAAAAAACAGAGGTCATCATTTAAAACTATAAAGCTCACTTACTCATGAGCTACTTACTATTTCAGAATGTATCTTCAATCACTTTTAAGCATAAATAAGTAAACTCTTAAAGTATGACTGATTCATCACTGGAGAAAAATGTAATAAAATATTCAACATGATATAAGTATAACTTGAGAAAATTAAAGTTATTTTAAGATGAAGAGAAAAGAAAAACTTAATTTTGCTCAATTTTGTATTTATAGTTGCCATTACAGTATATCCCCCAGCTACTCATTAGCCTTCTTTTTCTTTCCCTGGACCCACACTGACTCCATGCACAGATTATCTCAGGACATTGTCTTATGCACAAAGGACAGTAATTTGCAATTAACAATTGAATTAAGATAGATGAAGCTTTCCTTGTGTGTGTGTGTTTTGAGTAAAGGTAAGATCTGGTAGTTAGTATATCAATCTTCTTTCTTGAAGCACTTTTCTCCTTTCCTCCATGATAATTAACCTTTTCTTGACATTGTAAATATGTGTCATTGACAGTTACCATAAATATTCACCTCATATATATCATTTCCAAAGCACTTCATAATAGCAATAATTACTAACTTTTAAGGGGTGCTTACTATGTGCCATACAAAGACCTCAGTGGTTGTCACACGTTAATTCGGTTAATCTTCAGAACTCTATGAAACAGAAATTACCCCCATATTATAAATGAGAAACTGAGTCAAGGAGAATCTGTGAGGTGCCCAGGGCTAATGACTGGTAGATCTGGTATAAGATGCATCAGTCACAAGAGGAGGGAACAACATACCCCAAGTTAGATGTCTCTCTCAGGGACCACACTACAATAGAACTTGTACCCATCATATATGTTCACCTTCTTTGAATACACTTGGGCCAATCTGAAGGCATTAATAGGATAGATTAAAATCTACAAAGAGTGACCAAAAGTGTAGCTCTACAACTAAGCAGGGGAATAAACAGAAAACAGGGCTAAGACTTCTGGTAAACTCCTGGACAATTTTCGTAGGGAAAAGCAAGGCCTGGCATGACTGGGTAGGTGCTCTGAAATGAGGGTGTAAACAAAAGAGCCACAATCCAGTCAACTTGGGAAGACCTACTCCATTCACCTCCTACCTCAAACTCATCACTGTTTTATCTTCATATCTTATTTGATTTCCCAAGTAGTGTTCTCAACCAGAAAACTATTGGCTCACTATAATCCTCTAAATAGACTAATACAAATCTATCTTCTAAAAGTTTGATCAACAAAAGTCAGTCTTCTGAAGGCCTCAATATCTCCAGGACAAATTCATCCTCAAAGTTCCAGATTATAAGAACAAGGAAACACTCATAGATTGCAACAAATTATAGCAAACTTGAGAGCCTCCCCACTGAATTCCTCAATGTCTTCAGTTAACCAGAGACCAACTTAACAATCACACTGTACAAGTCACACTTCACAGAGCATAGCTTCAGGATATAGATCTGTCAGGCTTATGAGGAAACTTCCCTTCCACTTTAGATACTTCTAGACAGCTGAAATTTTTTCTTCTCTAATATATTACTTTTGGGGAAGAGGAGTTAACTTCAGGAATTTTCCTACTGAACATATTAAGAAAATTTAAGTACCCAAACACCAGTAACTTTAGCATTCATGAATCTCACAGAAAGGTGCGGGGGGGGGGAGGGGGGAGGCAGGGTTGATTTAACCAACTTTTATGTTACTAAGAGAAGTCCCCAAGGAAAATAACCTAGCAATATCACAGGGCTCTTCATAACTTTGTTAATACAGTTGGGAAACACTGGTCATATAACTGATGGTTAACTAACTCAATACTTTTATGTCATTTAAGAATAATGAACATAAACTCATAAATATTTTCAATAAAACATAGAGAAAAGAAATACCTCGAGTTCCACCAGAGCTGCGGTCACTGCATCTGTAGCAAGAGCACCAGCCTGTAGCTTTTCAATTGCCTATGAAACCAAGGGGAGAGATTATTCATTGTAAAACCACAACTTCCCAAATAGGCCCAGAAACTTTCCAAGGCCATAAAGAAGTATAGGAGACATTTAAATTTAATAAAAATTGATCACTAGTCCCATTCCGTACCTCAAGACATAAACCACTTAGATTTAAAACAAGCAAGTATTTATATTTAGTATAATTTATGATATAGCTCACTGATAATTCAAATTAAGACAATGAATACAATCTAGCCACTAAATGAAAAGTGCAGGCAATTTAATAAGTGGAAGGGCTTCAATCATCACAGGGCAATTCAAAATAGCCATAGATATTATCAAATTCAGTTTCATTTAAATATCCTGATAATTCAAAGGAGGGCACTTGTGATGAGCACCGGGTGTTCTATGTAAGTGACGAATAACTAAATTCTACACCTGAAACTGATATTACACTGTATGCTAACTGGAATTTACATAAAAATTTAGAGAAAGACAAAAATAAATACATAAATACCCTGATAATTTATACTTCATATTCATAATTGAATCTCAGACTTAGCTAGTAACATCTTTTCCCACTGTTTTCCTCTCCACATCCCTAACTAAAAAGCAGTGACTCTCAGTCACACCAACATTTAGATGGACATATATATGTGACAAAAGCATTTTTGGTACTATAGTAGTTCCCCCTTATCCTCAATTTCAGTTACCCCCAGTTAAATGCAGTCTAGAAGATAATCCTCCTTCTAACATATCATCAAAAGGTTAACAGTAGCCTAGCACTTACATCATCATGCTTACATTATACACCTCACTTCATCCCATCATGTAGGCATTTTATCATCTCACATCATTACAACAAGGGGTAAGTACAGTACAATATGATATTTTGACAGAGAAAGACCACATTCACATAACTTTTATATACACACAGTATAACTGTTCTATTTTATTATTATTGTTGTTAATCTCTTATTGTGCCTAATTTGTAAAGTAAACTTTCTCATACGTATGTATATATAGGGAAAAACAAGTACATATAGGATTTGGTACTATCTGCAGTTCCAGGCATCCACTGGGGGTCTTGGAACATATCCCCCATAGACAAGGGCAGACCACTGTACAAAATATTGAGATAAACAAATAATGTTCTTTTGTAATATGAATTATACAGAGTAACAGCCTATAAAATCACCTTATTTCTTAAGTATAAAGGGGAGAGAGAGAAGGAAAACTGATTTCTAAATGAACAATTAAAGCTCCAATTTAGTCAACAAAAGAGAATGCTCAAAAATTAAGAGCTGTATTCCTCATTAAGCTTTTAATAAGTTCATTCATTGTATAGATTGAAAAGGCTGATTATACATTCAAAATGTATTAGGATTCTAGGACTATAGTGATATAAAACATTTCAGACAATAAAAACTTTCAAAATTAAAAAATAAGAAAAAATATGAAATAGTTTAGAGAACTTCTAGCTTCATTATAAATTTAAAAAACGATAAAATCCCTATAACAAAATTTTCTTACTTATGGGATTTCATTAATGACTCATAATCTTTCTTTTCAATGGTATTTAAATATAAACGAAAAGAGCAGGGAGAGACCCAAATTTACTCGATATATAATATCCATTAACATTGTATTTGCATAAAAAGTAATGGATGCTTTGCCAGTAAGAGTATACAGTCAAGATCAAAATACAAACAAACAATATTACTTCTGAGTCCATTCCTGCATCCAAATTAAGTATTCAACAATTTAGCAAAACCTCAAAAACCAAAGAGAAAAAAAAGCACAACTGAGAACAAGGGCAAAGCTAAACTCAGGAATGACAATGAATTTGCTATGATACAAACTACATAATGAAAAACAGAAGGAAAAAGTGCAGGATAATCTCCCTAAGAAAGTACCCATTTTAATTTTTTATTACTTATTTTCTTCTCTTCATTGAAAGATACACTGACTGCCTTTGAAATGTTTTCCCTACTCCTTCAATGGAGCTCAATGCCTTTGCAAAGATTAAAAGATATATGATTATGTGCCCACATTTCCAAAAATACAGACTTTAATCTGGGAAAGGGAGGGAAAGATCTAAGCATCATTTGGAGAATAAAAAACACAAACAAAAGAAAACAAAAGACCCCGCAAATATGAGCAAAATAATTTCATGGCCCAAACTAAAGACTCTCTTCTAAGTCAAACCTTAAAATTTTGAATTTCAAGGTAAAGCTGCTTGCTGGTCAAAACTGAAATGTTTCCATCATACACACTCTGTTCATACCTTCTGACAAGCTCGTTTGCATACATGTTTATATTCCTTGGCTTTGGACTCAGAATGATAACCCGCACCTGTAGTGGAAAAAAACAACCGATTGCTAGTCATCATTAAAATATCAGAGATTTTGCTTATATCATATAAATAGTTCATACAAACTAATGCTCCCTTGGTGACAATAAAAGTATTATCCTACATGTATGGAGTTTTCAAAATCTAATCGCCTCCTTCTCTACCATAGCCTTTTTAATGCCATGCCTTACCTTCTTTTTCAAAGGCTATTTTCCTGACAGAGGCACTAAAAATAGCTCATATCCCCAAAGGGACTCCACCAAGATCATCTCCTTTCAAAAACCTCCCTCCAAAGTCAGGTTTTTGTTTTTTTTGGTCTGGAGTTGATAACCCAGGAGGTGTCAGGGACAGAGTCCCTTCACTTTCCTTTCTGTTGACCTTTAGAAAGCCCCTGCCATTTGGCAAATAACTGCTCAGAATCCTGAATCCTTAAAAATAACCAGAAAACTAGGTAGTTTCTACATAACATTTGAAGTTATTTCCCACAACCACCAAAATACCATCACTGCTATCCAAACTTTTTACACCCTCTCACTGCTGGACTGTTGCTCAGGGTGTCTCTGAAACCTCAGTGACAGCACATTCATGTATGTCTATAAGAAATCCTGGTGTCCCTGTCTCTTAAACACCCAGCAACCTACTCAAGAGAATGGCTCTGAAATCTGTTGCCCTAAGAGGGTGAATACTTGCTTAGTTAGGGATTTGAGAATAATATAAATAAGAAAGAAGGGCGCCTGGGTGGCACAGTCGGTTAAGCGTCCGACTTCAGCCAGGTCACGATCTCGCGGTCCGGGAGTTCGAGCCCCGCGTCGGGCTCTGGGCTGATGGCTCAGGGCCTGGAGCCTGTTTCCGATTCTGTGCCTCCCTCTCTCTCTGCCCCTCACCCGTTCATGCTCTGTCTCTGTCCCAAAAATAAATAAACGTTGAAAAAAAAAGAAACCAAGACAAGGGCCCTGAAACTCTCTTGATGATTAGGCTTCTAAACAAAGTTCTTTAACAGAGAACTCTGAATCACTTCCCCCAACTCCCCTGAACCAAGGCCCTACAGGGGTCCAACATAAAGAAGGTTAAGAACTGCATTTCTAAGCCTCAGGGCTGTTCATATAGGCCTACAGACTCTAACACAAACCTAACCCACCTTTCCTCAAGTCAGAGAAAAAACTAGCCCATGAAGCTATCAATCAGGGACCCAGGAGAGCAGAAAAGATGCAAAACCAACAGGAATCCATACACCCAAATTCTAATCCTATTTCTCAAGAGAACTGCGAAACTTCATACAGCCTATGCCAATATTTAACAGGCCTCTTTTCATGCTTCTCTAACAGGTCTGTGACCTTAGATCTAGGGGCCTCAATCTTTCAGCAGTATTTCCCAAATCATGGGACACTATTGCTAAATAAATAACTTTAGTGTATGGATGACAGTTCTAATAGGATTAACATACAACTCCCCTTTGAATAAGGGGAAAGTCTCAGCATGGCCACAATACATCTTTAATATCTGGTTAACATTTGCTAATTTCTCTATTTAACAAAGGAAAGGTAGGCTCAGGATCTAAGCCACAGACATGCAACAGGATTTAGCTAAAATTTAATTACACTGGTTTGGTTATTTACACTGTAAATTACACTGTATTTAAAGTTATTTTGGGGGCACCTGGGTGGCTCAGTTGGTTGAGCGTCCAACTTTGGCTCAGGTCATGATCTCGCGGTCTGTGAGTTCAAGCCCGGCGTCAGACTCTGTGCTGACAGCTCAGAGCCTGGAGCCTGTTTCAGATTCTGTGTCTCCCTCTCTCTCTGCCCCTCCCCAGATCATGCTCTGTCTCTATCTCAAAAATAAATAAACCTTAAAAAAAATTTTTTTAAGTTATTTTCTCCTCATGCAAGTGATACTGACATTTCATTTGAGTAAAGATAAGTTTCAGCTTTAAAGTTTTAAGGTAAAAAGTGTTCAGCCTTTTGATATTAGGTAAACAGTATAGGTAGTATACAGACTAGGAAAAATCAAGAACCTAAGACTCAAATGACTAAAATTTGGGCAAGTCTCCTCTAGTGGGGGCGAAAAAGGCTTTAAGATCTCTACAATGGATAAGGAATTGAAATTTCGTCCCTTAAATGTGCAAAATATATATTTCTCCATGATCAGTCTATCTGACCTTCTAATGGTTTAGAAAAAGAGTCACTCTAATCCACATAATTTCCGCCTATTACTGCTGGCCCCAACACCAACTTATCTAAGATATCTAAGAGCCATTCCCATCCAGTGAGTAAAAGAAGAGGGACATTACCATGACAGTCATAAAAAGCAATGCTTTCCAACTAATCAAAAGCTCTATGTTGTTGCTTGTCAAAAATTTTAAACCTTTCTTGTATGCTTGTCACATACTCATTCTAAATAAAATAAAATAACACTGGGTACTACAAAAGGTGCACCATCAACATTATAGTAGGAAGAGCCCCGGACTAGGAGTCTGAAGGCAGGCATTCCTGGTCCCAAGTCTACTTCTAACTGGGTTATTTCTAAAATTTACCTCATTTCTTTGTAAAAATCTTTTGAAAGAAAAGCAAATTGAACCTGGGTTTCTTAGATTCTCCTGGATTAGATTCTGTAAGACTCCCCAAGTTATCTAGTCTAGATATAGCCAAAGTTTAATGACCAGGCAGGACACCAGTTTGGCAAGAAAAAACAATTCTACTCCTCACCCCATATCAAAGATAATCTTGATCCCACCCTGTTTGACTGTCTGAGGAAAGTTAAAAGGAGATCCAGCCATTCCTTCTCCCTTCACAGAAGTCATGCATTTTAGATAAATGCAGGCAAATAAAAATGACTAAAGGAAAAAAAAAAAAAAAAAAGCCTGCTGAGAGCAGAGCTGCACTGCTCTGAAATCCAAAATCCTCAATGAGTGGGGACCCAGGAGTTGAACTTCACTGTGTCTGTCCCCCAGATCCTCTGAAGTAGAGATTATGGGCTGATGTATTACCAAAAGCACTAGACTGGGACTAAGGGTCCACATAAGGGTTTCTCAACCTGGCTCTAGCGCAAACTAGCCATGAGGCTGGAGCTACTTAATCTCTCTTCCTCATTTTTAGTATTAAGGCAAACTAACTCCATGATCGTATAATTCTATTCTAAAAAGGCCACAACTCAATATAGGGTCAGTAAAATTTCTCAGTAGCATTATTTTTAAGAACAGAAACTAGAGTTTAAGAAATGACTTTGGGGGCACCTGAGTGGCTCAGTCGGTTAAGCATCTGACTCTTGGTTTCAGCTCAGGTCATGATCTTGCACTTTCGTGGGTTCAAGCCCCACATCGGGCTGTGCACTGGCAGTGTGGAGCCTGCTTAGGATTCTCTCTCTTCATCTCTCTCTGCACCTGCCCCACTCACACTGTCTCTCTCAAAATAAATAAATAAACTTAAAAAAAATTCCTTTGTCTGATTCTAACACTACTTAATTATACCTATTACATATAGGGGGTGAAAGTAAGTAACAGGGTAGAGAAGTAAAGAAGACATAAGAAGAGCTGTCAGTATAAGATCTTCCAAGTAGGGAATAGGAGAGGCCTGTATTGAAGTCACTCTTTGGTTCCAACTCCTCTCTGGCAGTTTGCCTCCTCCAGATGTGAAATTCAATTCCCAGTGTACTTCAAGGCAAGAAAAAAAAAAATCAACATTATTTTCATCTTCCGACTCACCCACTTAGAGCTTACCTGCATGTACCAACACAAAGCCCCCTCGCTTCTCCTTATGGGATTGCTTTGTTTCCAACTCTTTGACTGTTATTTTAGCAGCCGAAACCTGAGATGATCTGGAAGGCAGCCCTTCTCCAGAACTCATCCCCTTCTCCATGGTCATTCTCTGAGATTACCATCTTCTATTGGGGAAAGTGCATACTTCCATCCAAAAGTAATTGCAGGAGAAGAAGTACCCTAAAGAAAAACAGCCAAAGATGGTATACATTTCCCTCTCTAACACAAACATAACTTATACAAATATGTGCAAAGATAACTTTCCAAAAACCTAATTTTAAAGTCATTTAACTGGATAATACAAAGAATATGAAAAGGTAAGATTTAAATCTCTGTCCACAGACAGTACTTGCTTGAAGTCATATAAACAAAAGAACTGTTGAAAAAAGACTTCCTACTGAGTCTAAAGATATTTTATCTTTCACTGCATATACACTGTAGAAAACCTCAATATAACTTAAATATTACTTTCTACTCCCTCGAAACCAAATACTAATAATCTCTGGGACATTGTAGAATCAAAGATGGTGCCTTGATATAAAGCCCAGGTCGCAGCTTACTTTTTTCACCAGCTTTATTGCGATATAACTGACATATAACATTATGTAAATTTGCGTACAAAATGATTTCACACACACATACTGTGAAATGATCACCACAATAATATCAGTTAACATGTCCATCACCTCACATAATTAGTTTTTTGTGTGATGCGAAAATTTAAGATCTATAAATTGCTGCTTAAAGATCTGAAGCAACAGATTCGCACTTGCCTGTGAAGAACTTAAGACAAACAGTACAATGCTCCACAGCTTGACTGTAAAACATAAATGCTAACAAAATTGTAAGACCAAACCAAGAAATGAAAATAACAACACTCGTGCAAATACTTAATTTTCATGAAAAGCTTTGTTTCTAAGGTGCTCGATAGATGACATATAAAATGTAATAAGACAAACTAAAAACAACTTATACCACCAAGTTCCTAATTTTTCTCACAAGCTCACAAGCTTCTAGCAATCTTGGCTTAACAACAGTAATTATGGTATGGCAGAACATATCTCAGATTAGGGAAAAATGAATCATTTAAAAATCAACACAGAGATTTAAAGAAAATCTGACAGTCGGGTGGCTGACATAAACACCTAGATTCATACTGTCAGGTAAAAATCTGTACTTTATTCTAAAATGGGGAGGGGAATAAGGCTTTCTTTTCTAATATAAAACATAAATAGTAGTATAAAAAGTGACTTAGCTGCCTAATCCAAAAAACTGGTGTTTCTCAAAGTGTGGTCTGCAAGACCAGGTTTTGCTACCAGTGTGCAAGAGATTATTTCATTAATATTTTAATTGGTTTGTATACACATTTTCAATAAACAATGTGTACAACTTGTGTAATTTTTTTTCTATTTCCTTGTTCTGTTTATATTTTTGAAGCAATTTTATCTATTAAATATAATAAAAAATTGAGCTTTTATTTTTATCTTTCATTCACAGTTCCATACTTCCATTTTGTTTGGGGTTTAGTTCTTTGGTTTGGGGTTTTGGTTCTTTTGCACTTTACAAAATAAATAGTCAACAATGGATTGAAAATTTTTTTAAGTTGGTTCTTTACACCAGAGGTGGTCTGAGAAGCACTGAAATATAGTATTTTAACTTCTTTTAATTCTTGGTTAAAAAGAGTCCATTGAGTTAGTATCAAAAATCTATGAAGAACTTACCAAACTCAACACCCAAAAAGCAAATAATCCAGTGAAGAAATGGGCAGAAGACATGAATAGACACTTTTCCAAAGAAGACATCCAGATGGCTAACAGACACATGAAAAGATGTTCAACACTGCTCATCATCAGGGAAACACAAATTAAAACCACAATGAGATACCATCTCACACCAGTCAGAGTGGCTAAAATTAACAACTCAGGAAATAACAGATGTTGGAAAGGATGTGAAGAAACGGGAACTCTCTTGCAGTGTTGGTGGGAATACAAACTGGTACGGCCACTCTGGAAAACAGTGTGGAGGTTCCTCAAAAAATTAAAAATAGAACTACCCTACGACCCGGCAATTGCACTACTAGGCACTTATCCAAGGGATACAGGTGTGCTATTTAGAAGGGACGCACACACCGCCATGTTTATAGCAGCACTATCAACAATAGCCAAAGTATGGAAAGAGCCCAAATGTCCATCGATGGATGAATGGGTAAAGAAGATATGGTATATATATACAATGGAGTATTACTCGGCAATCAAAAAGAATGAAATCTTGCCATCTGCAACTACGTGGATGGAACTGGAGGGTATTACGCTAAGTGAAATAAGTCAGTCAGAGAAAGACGGGTATCATATGTTCTCATTCATATGTGGAATTTGAGAAACTTAACAGACGATCACGGGGAAGGGAAGGAAAAATAGGATAAAACAGAGAGGGAGGCAAACCATGACTCTTAAATACAGAGAGCAAACTGAGGATTGGTGGGGGTGGGTAAAATGGCTGATGAGCTTTAAGGAGGGCACTAGTTGGGATGAGCACTGGGTGTTATACGTAAATGATGAATCATTGGATTCTACTGAAACCAGGACTACACTGCATGTTATCTCACTTGAGAATAAAAAATTAAAAAATAAAATAAAATAAAATGAAGTAAAATAAAATGAAGTAAAATAAAATAAAATAAAATAAAATAAAATAAAATAAAATAAAATAAAATAAAA